TACACTGGTATCATCCGCAAAGAGAATAGGGGTGGAAACCTTATTTAGGATTAACGGAAGATCATTGATATAAACTAGAAAAAGCAAGGGCCCAAGAATGGAACCCTGGGGGACTCCATGAGAAATTTCACCCCAGTTGGAATAAGTACTTGAGCTAGAATGTTTTGATTGTAATCTTATTCTTTGAAACCTACCATTCAAATAAGATGCTATTAATTTGTGAAGTGGGCCAGATATACCATAAAATTCCAATTTAGATAACAATATCCCATGGTTAACACAATCGAAAGCTTTTTCCAGATCGCAAAATAATCCTCCCACACTATGCCCATCATTAAGGGCTTGGATTATCTGATTCAGTAATTTGAAGGTAGCTTTATCGGTTGATGAATTTGGCCTAAATTCAAATTGTTCGTTTAGTAATATGTTATTATTGACCAAATGATTACTAAGCCTACTATAGATTACCTTCACAAATATGACAACACTTTGCATACTGTGGTTGTGTTGTACTTTTAAATTACTAATCAGGGTTTGCACAAAGTGACTTGATGTGTTCTCAAGTATGAAAGAATTTTACTGTCCATATATTCCAGTTTTATAGGTAATGTATAGGGCAGGCATGGCCAACTTCAAACAGGTTCTGATTGACTTTTTGGTGCCAAAACTGCCAGTGATCTACCACCCCCTCCTATCGTACCTCGCTGTAAGCAAAAATATTGGTAAAAATAACACAACACATGATGAGTAACTGGGCTGTATCTCTGATGTCTGTAGATTCATCCAGTTGGAGGGAGAAAGCAACACAATTGGAAACATCTTTCAACAACTGTTCAGTTATGTTTCCACACATCATTTCTATTCACCGCACAATGGTGTTTCTTGATAATTAAAGATCTTGAATAGTAGCTATGATCTCTTTCTTATGTTATATTACAAGTCAGTTTACATGCTTTTCACGTACAGTTTCCTTATAGGCCTATGAGATCGACCAAAAATCATCCTGCGATCAACCGGTCGATCACACTCGACGTGTTGGACATGCCTGGTATAGGGTAAAGTTATCCCTGAGCTTAATTAAGCTACACATATAAAGATGTATGGGGGAATGGCGGTGTAGTACCAGACATTCTTAACCTAAGCATTGGTCACTAGTTTTCTGGAGAAAGACTCTGCAGTATGCATTAGTTAGGATCATAGTCATTAGAAGTTGTCTACATTTTGTGTCCTTATGAAATTTTTGTGTATAACATTAACCCTTTTAAAGACTACAAGGATATTCATGATAGCCATGCAGTTTAGAAATGCATGTCGGATACAAGTACAGTTCATTGTGACTCCAACTGCAGACACTCCCATATTTGAAGTCCTGTATGAATGGTTACAAATGATGCTGCCAGTCTGGAATGGGTTAATGTATGAGATAATTATTGTTCACATTGAAGTATCTTATGCAGGAAGTTGTACTTCATGCATTAAGCCCAAAAACTGTGATCTATTTTAAACATATTTCAGTATTATGAAAGATTTTCGTAATGCAGTTAGGAACAGTATGCTGGTATCTAGAAATGTCAAGAATTCACTCCAATCAATTAATAACGCATAACTTTTTAAATTCTGCATGTTGTATGAAGAATGTTCCCCCTTGCCTGCTATTATACAAGTTTCTCCACAAGAATATTGTTTCATTTGACTTTTGGGAACATTCATCCATAGCATTTACTTGCATAATTAAATATACGTACATGAAATGAAGGAAAAATTCAAGATATATTACTATAATTATTCAACCTTATTCAGACATTAGCAGAACTCAATTTGCCATATCATATTGTAATTATTTTAAGGCTGATGAACTAATGTTAATTTTCAAATTATTATGTATTTTTCACAGTCCTCACAAGTGAAAACTTATCGGTCTTATATTTATATTACAGTATTATCTCTGTGGTATTGTTGTATTGCCTAGTAGTGTTCGTTGCTCTTACTTCATGTTGTCAAAGTACACAGTTGAAATTTTGATGAAGAGAGCAGTTGTCCTGGCTGAAACATTTGTGGCTTTCCTCGTTATCTGTAGGAAAATGTCCTGATGGTACAGTGTGATGTACTGTGCCAAAGCTGATAGTCATTCAGCTGCTCAGGAAACTTCCTGCTCTAAAGGAACCTGAAGATTCATTACCATGTTCACAAGAGCCTACCACTGGACAACTTCTTCACCATTTGTAATCATCCTATTGTCTTTCATTTAATGGAGTACAACCTCTGCAGCTGATGTAGTGTTATGAAATAAAGCCATAGACAATCAAATGTTAACTGTATATGGCCTTTTTCTTCATATTGGATGGTATTAATTCATGCACAATAGCCATGTTATGATTTAGAGCTCATTTCCAGGGACGTGCAAGGAAGTCAAAAGCAGCAGTAACAGTGGAAATGGAGGCCTCTGAAAACCCAACTTTAGACTCTATCCATTCAGATCCCACACTGTTTTGCACTGCATTCAAGAAGAACAGGTTCTATATGTTCTCAAGGTATGTCTGCTGTTTTGATTTTTACAGAACAGTTTCTATTTTTAATGCCAGTCGAATTCTGATCCCTGTGCCAACTGCATAATTGGGTAATTACGAGCTTAAGTGAATTCTCTGTTAGTGTCCCCGTCAGTTCTCTGCATTTCTGCAGTTGCCACATACTCTGTATTAATTTATTCACTTGTTTCCCTATAACATCATTGATTTTTATCCATAAAACATTGTCTAAATATCCTAATTTTTGTACCTACAGTTTTATTGAAATGAATATGTGTGTTCTGTATATACCAACAGTGTTACATAAGGTACACAAACAACACTGAGCAGCTTAGAGGAAATAGTTAGTTCAAAATACTATGAAGATATCTGTATGCTTGAAATCTAAATTGTGTTATAAAAAAATAATAAAAAATAATATAGAATACAGCACCAGCAAAGCTGGTTGGTGTAGTAGTAATACTGTAGACATCATGGGTGCTTGAATTTTGGTGGAACACCAGGTATCTTGATTAATATTTTTAGTGGTTTTCCCAGTCTTCCAGGCATTTGCTGGGATATTATGTCAGTAAGGCTGTGAGTACCTGCTTTCAAATCCTTTCTGTTTCATTATTCAGCCTGGCATTTTATGCTATATAGTCTCAGATACTGGCAGTGTTGTAAAATAAAGTACCATGCTTCCATGTGTAGAGAGAACTTCCATAACTGTATTGTGTAGAATTGTTTCTTGAACTTCATTATAGCAGCTCATTATTTGCTGAACTATAAGTTAACTTTGATCTTGTATGAATTATAAGAGGAAATCCCAAAGCATATTTCTTGACTTGCTGACTTCATGGGCTCATCATGAAGTGCTGTTATTCCCATCAAGTCCAGCACAAAAACTTGGATGTTCCTGTATGTCACCACAGTTCTTAATATTTTTTTAGGGAAGAATTTTATTGATCAGGAATAGTCAGTGTTTGGGAAATGCTGCACTAAAAAACATATGTACTTAATGGTGGGAAAACTGCTTCTGATTGTAGACATTGTATTAACACTGAGTTCACAATTGTCTGTGCCATTTTTTTAAGGTATTTGTATTTATCATTCCACTAAGTTTGTCTGCATTCCTCTACACTCCCAGTGCAGTAGTGTGTCTGTAAGAAAGAGATAAAATTGAGCATGATAGAAGTTACATAATGTCAGTCATTGAGGTTTGGATATGTATGAATTCCAGGACTCTCTATCCGTGAGAGAGGGAGGAAAAAAGGATCATGCATAACATATATACTTACTCATGGCCCTGAGCCCTTCTTGAAGAGCTGCCAATTCTGCAGCTACTCAAGAATTTCCCAGCATTTTATGGAACCCGAAGGTTCATTACCGTGCTCACAAGAGCCCTTCAGCGGTCCCTATCCCAAGCCAGATCAGTCCAATCCATCCCATCCCATTCTATCTCTCTAAGATCCATTTTAATATTCTCCACCCACTTACGCCTTGGTCTTCACAGTTGTCTCCTTCCTTACAGCTTTCCCACCAATATCCTATATGCATTTCTCTTCTCCCCCATTCATGTTATATGCCCTGCCCACCTCATCCTCCTTGACTTGATCATTCTAATTATACTTGGAGAAGAGTACATGTTATGAAGCTCCTCATTATGCAGTTTTCTCCAACCTCCTGTCACTTGATCTCTCTTTGGTCCAAATATTCTCCTCAACACCCTGTTCTCAAGCACCCTCATTCTACGTTCCTCCCTTAATGTCAGAGACCAAGTTTCGCACCCATACAGAAGCATGACATATATACAGTATGATAATTTTATAGCTTACCACGTATTGCTGAGCTACTCAGGCAGAAGAGTGTGCTCCTTCCCATAGGCTATGGAGATTAGGACAAGCAGTGATGCTGGCAAGCCTGTAGCATAACAAATTACAAGTAAAACTTACCGAGATTACAGCAGATGCTGATGGTGCTCTCTGTTGTCATGCGCACATTCCTGGCACCTCTAGAAGTTCACATTCACATGTCAAAGTTCTCAGCCAGAGACAGAGTAAACCTGATGCTTGAAACTCAGCCTCCTGTGCAAGGCCTCTCAAGGATTTTCAGGCTGAATGTTCAAATGTAACATCAGTTTCTGTCAGTGAGCATGAAGCATTTTGATCCACCTTTCCAGTGATGATAGAATTGGTGTGTTGAGCTTGAACATTATCCTGGCGGAAACAAGAACAGAGTATTTCCAGCATCTGCTGGTCTGTTAGGTTGTACATATGTTGATTGTACTAGCAGTCCGTGTCTTCGCAGCCCAACCAGACTGAAGGCAAATCAGACTTCTCTGCCTGATGCATGAGCTCTAAGATGATCATACTGTATAAATACCTATGCCAGTTTTGCTTGGAGGAAACTGTTAAAGCCCCATTTACAATAGCTGACTTACTCAATTTGGTAACCTAGTCACAAAGAAATATGAGAATGACATTCTCATTTGTAGAGTCTTCATAAATGTGAAAGCAGCTGTACAAACAGATTCTTTATGCTGAGGGTTTTGATTCATTCTTAGGTTATATAATCCAGCTTTTTCAACCCTAAACTTTACATAGCACTAAGTTGTAGGATGAATGTGAATGATGAATTGGAAAGGATATTGGAAAAGTCAGCATGACCTGTTTTAAAGTACTGTTCCAGTAGAAACAGTCAGCATAGTTATGTTTCATGATTGAGATTTAAACTCAAGGTCTTCCAAATGTGAAGGAAATGTCACTCAACCCTGATGTTTAGTTCATCATTATGGTCACAAAAGTGTTTTTGTCATGAAGTTTGACATATAAATGGCTTTTACTGTATTAGCACATGTGTAACAGATATTGGACTGAATCCTGACCTGTCCCAACTTGGTATGGTTTGTCTCTCTTCATCTAAACCCTTCATGAATGCTAGAAGAGTACCTTGGAATGAGTCACAATTGCTTGTTGGCTTGTAGTTGTGAATTCCTCCTATCGGCAGTTATTCTAATCTTCTGCAACCTCGTCTCATACTACTTACGATATATTACAGGAAAGGTGTAACAGTGAACAGTGTGGATGATTGTATGGCAGCTTAAAATTTACTGAATATTTACTGAAATATCTTAAAATTCTTATTTAAGGCGAGAACCTGAAGATACCAAGGGCCAAGATGCAGAACGAGATATCTTCAATGAGAAACCATCCAAAGAAGATATCATATCTGCAACAGAAGCCCCAGGTTATTCCTTCCTTCTGATTTATGTATATATTCTTCAGCCAGTATATAATTAAATTCAAGGAGTTAAAATGTTGTACATTTGTTTCTTGCTTGAAGTAATTTGTAAAAATTATTCATTTTTTAAATTTGTTTTTACATTTGCTTTATTGACAATAAGAAATGAAAGGTAGAAATAAGGAGAAGAGAGAGATGTTCTGTCCAGTGTATCCATGCTTGATGGCTGCTCTTCTCAACATTTGTTGTCCACAGTGGCTCCTGTCACTACACTTTTCTAACTCCAAAATTCTGACTTTAAGGCATCATGTTACATTGCTCCCTCCTTAAGGCTGCTTGTCCCAAAAAACCTACAGGTGTGCCACCATTTCTTCTGCTCCAAGGGGTTCTCCCTGTTAAGTCTCTGACCACCCTCGTACATGGTACCATGATGCCACATTAGCTGAAATACTACTGCTTCCGTCTTGGATGTCATCCAGTCTTTGTTCCTTGTATAACTGGTCTTGCTCTTTAGTTCTCCAGCTGTTCCCTCTTTTTCAGAGCATCTTTGAATCTGCTATTAGAGAAATTTACCGGCATAAGAATAAATTAAAAGAGCCTCTTCCAAAAACAGCAGCCAACTAAACTTTATGTTTTCATGTAACTCTCTTAGAGTACACATTTATGTTGTATTGTCAATCATCCAGGTGTGCAGGAGTAGATTACATCAGTTTGAGAGGTAAATATGTGTGGAATTGATTTATTCTTTTAGCAGTTTGATAGGGATGAAATTACCCAAGAGATTGGCTCTAAGAGACTTGTGTGGGAAACATTGGCTGTACTGAGTAGTCCTGCGCAGTGCCACAGTTTTAAATAACAGAACATTGATCAATAAGAATGCCATAGTAAATAAGCAGAACATTGGTCAATAGGCATATGTTTTCATCACTTTGTCATAATAATACAGAATTTAATTAATTCAGTACAGCTTGTGAGCAATTTCAGTAAATTTACTTGGTCAGCAGAAGTTAATATTTATAAGGCTGCCATAATACTGTGACATGTAAATCCACTACTAGGCAATGCCTGCAATGCACACATGACCAACAATACGGCAGCCATGTTTTCTTTGTGTCTGTACAGCTTGCACATGCACATTGATGTCACACCACAACAGTGCTTAGCGATCATGTGACATGTTTTCCATAGTTCCAGCCAGCACACCAGTAGACTGGCTAGATAGCGATCATGTGACGTGTGTTTTCTGTGATGTGTGTCCATGCTTCATCTATATAAGTGAGCAGAATTCTTGAGCAAGTAGTAAGCGACAGGAGTATGGCAGCAAGCTTGAGGAGTACAACAGAGTACTAGAAGTCAGCCTATGAAGACTTTATACATGCTGTAGCACAGCAATATTGGGAGTGTGTAATTTATTCAGACTTTTATAGTTCCTGAATATCATTACTTTTAGTTGAGAATGTTAAAACACATGATACAGGTGATATTCATCCCACAAACAAATTATGCCCATATAAAGAATTTTAATCATGTCTTCTCATTGTTTCTTATTCTTATAACCTCTGTGGTACTGCACACATTAGTAGATTTTAATGTAACTGTAAAAATATGAAGTTTGTTTGATTGATCTTTATTGTGATGTATACAGGTGTTCAGCGTTTGTATGACAGTGCAATTATCCATACAGCACTGGGAGACATTCATCTCAAGCTCTTTGCCAAAGAGTGTCCTAGGGCTGTGGAAAACTTCTGTGTGCACAGTAAAAATGGCTACTACAATGGTCATATTTTCCATCGAGTCATCAAGGGGTTTATGGTTCAAACTGGAGACCCTACAGGTAAAATATATATATAGAACCCTTCAAGATCAAAAACTTGTTTCAATATATATAATTTTTTGGCTCATATATTGTGAAATTTACAAAGCCATAAGCAAATTAAGGAACCTTCTGTAACAGTTTTTGATGAAAACTAGTTTGTGTGTTACTAATAATTTTCTAGCTCCATGACACAGAGTCTTTCTTGCCTGCCTAATAGTTGCTTATCTGTGGTGAAACATTTGCAGTGTGTCATGAAGAACTTGGTCCAATAGAGAATCATTTAAATTCTCACAATTTTTCCAAATTGTCATCCTTGAACATGCATAATATTTTTGACATTTGTTCCCATTGCCCACTTAAAAAATATATATATATTTGTAGTGATAGCTGTCATTCTGAAGTGTTTGTTCTTCCTGAAATAGGGACAGGCACTGGAGGACAGAGCATATGGGGTGGAGAATTTGAAGATGAATTCCACCCAAACCTGAGACATGATCGACCATACACTTTAAGCATGGCAAATGCAGGTGCTAATACAAATGGCAGCCAGTTTTTCATCACTGTTATACCAACAGTAAGTAAGGTTTTCTAATATGTACCATAATAACCACCACCATCATTATCAACAGCCTTAAATATATAAGCCCTTCTCTACCTATTCTGACACCACTGCCTTAGGTTCTAAAAGAAATGAAAAGTCATGTGAATTTTGAGGTATGATTTCAAAGACCTGTTGCCACGCGGGTGGATGTGGTGGTAATATAATATTTGGGAGGTACGTGGTTCAAATCTGAATTGTTTTGTGGTGACATGTCCGAGGTTTCAGACTCCCAAGGAAAATTCTAGGGTAAGACTTTGGAACAGAACATGACAACTACCTTACAAATGCATTTGCACTTTATGTCCATTATCATCTTCCCATTTCATTAAACACCTTACAGTCCCTGCAAGTGAAACAGTGGTATTAAGCAAAATAAGAATTGTGATGTGGACTTTTAGTTAAATGATAAAAATTGAGTATATCTGATGTGTAAGAAGTATGAAAGGGCATTACTGAGGGAAGAAGAAAAGAGTGGGATTATGTTAATTAATAGAATATGCTGTATACACAAAACAGATTGTAAAATTTAGAATTAAATGACAAAATTAGGTATTTAACTGAACATAGAAGACAGTGAGAGGAAGTATAAAAATAAATGTTGCTAATGTGCATATATCACATTCCACCAGGAAGATAAATAGTCTGTTAGTCCATAAAACTGCTTTATGTGAAAGAGCTATTTTTATTCACAAATTAAATATGAAATTAAAAGCAGACATGCATATTTGTGTTAGCAGTGTATTCATGATTTTAAAAGGTTTACATTTGTTTTCACATACACAGCGATTGAAGTATGGCAAGATAAGGCAGGGTTCTCATTTCGGGGGAACGCACAACATGGTGGTCTCATATCCATTTTGATATTCTTATATCTTTATAATTGCCTAACTCAGAATTGTTGGAATCAGTTAACATTCAACCAAAAAGTGATTCTCAGATTGTTGACGAGTTGACATTGGACTGATACATGATTTTCCAGTTGCTGACTGCATCTGATACAGGACATTCTGTTTATTAAATATATGAGACACCACCAAATCTAATTTCATTGTGTTTTATTTGTATTTTAAACTGTCAGACTAAATCTGACAAAGGGCTTTACAAGTTTAAAATGCCAGACCAACCTTAAACACATGCATGGCTTGAAGTGCCTCTGTAATAGTCTGTATTCCTCACCTGTATCAAGAGACTGTATTAATTTTCTAAATGTGTAAATGTGACAGTTCATTACTTTCAGTATTCATAAAATGAGTTTCTGTGACTGATCATCTGCTTAACAGATAAACAAATACATTTATATATTGATGTTTCCTCCATACTACCTTTGATTTCTGTTTTTCAGCCATGGTTAGACAACAAGCATACAGTGTTTGGACGAGTTGTGAAGGGAATGGAAGTAGTGCAGAATATTAGCACTGTGAAAACAAATCCAAAGACAGATAAACCATATGATGACATTCAGATTGTAAGCATAAGTTTAAAGTGAATATGGACTGGCGACAAACATATTCAGCTCTGAGTTAAATCAAATAAAATGCTTAGCTGGATATATCCACATTACCCATGTATGAAATGGAGATCTCAGTGCCATGTAAAGCTTCAAGACACCTTGAATGGCACTGGTGGTGTTTCTGTCTCAGATCTCCACAACTGATAGTTATATTGTTGAAGATGGGAATTAAAGTGTTTCAAGGTGAGGTGACCTCCATTGTCTAGCATTTATACAACTTTTATAAAAGTCCATCACTTAATGTAACATTAATGTCTGTAATTGAATCAGAAGGCTAACAGACAGACCAGCAGCTTTTTAACAGATTTTCTTTATAACATGATATCTGAAAATGAATAAAAGGAATTTATGAATGAAATAAAAAATAACCACCGAGATCTCTTGTCAGCACACATTCCTTTTCCCCAGTTTGTGGTGGCAGTGGGAAGGTATTCTCTGTAATACAGTTTAATTTATATTGTCTGTAAAACACTGTAATTATATATATATTATTTTAATAAAACTGCAATAAAGACCAACTTGTAGATAGGTAATCTTCAAAAACTTGTTTAAGAGGTGAGATGTAAAGTGAAAAATTATTTCCATGATAGTGGCAGATGTTAAAGTCTTGTATGGTAAGTATACCCTCCATAATAACCATGTTCCAGCTAACATTTTTGTAAATAAATAAAAGGAATGTGGTCCAGATGCTTTATGGACTGACTAAATTTTACAATGTAGCCGTCTGTTGTGGAAATGGTAAAATCTGTATAAATGCATCCTGTCCTAGCAATACATATTGCTTTCTTCACTGTTTTAGAGACTACAGCATTTTATATTACTGTTCTGCTTCTATTGCTCTGTTAGATACTGTAACTATACTTAATTTTTGTACACTTTTACTGAAATAGAATTATTAAACATGAATTCCAATGATAAGTTCATGTTCAACAGTTCACTGTCACCGCCTCAATGGACCTAGAAGGCTTAGAACAACGATGAAGTATTTGCATCACCATGGCATTATATAGACAGAGCTTTTCCATTCTTTTTTATCCTCCCATAAGCACTGTTATTGTATCTGTATCCACTCTTTGCTTACCGGCATCTGTCATATCTGCATGTTATCTTTGACCCCTGTTTACTCTTTGTTAAGTATGTTATGTTTTACAGCTCTAACATTTGTCCATACCTCTGTATCCTAAATTTGACAGTCTCTTCTTGTAGTGTTTCTTCTTTCAGAACTTCCCGAATGTAATGACTTCAAGTCCTTATTTCTTGTTATTCACTTCTGAATATTTAAAGATTCTCCATCTGTGCAGTGTGTAGTGTACTTAATTTCTTACAGAATGTAGTTTCATAATTTGTTCTTACTGCAGGAACCAAGTAGATGTTTCAATAACAAGTGTGCAGTGGGATATTTTAACAAGCAAAAGTCATTAAAGAGTTCTATTTTCTGAGATATAACAGTATGTAGGCTATTACAAATCAGCCGATATTTCATCTGAAACGTCTGTTGTGTTTCAATGGACTATACAGCTTTATGTATATCTTCAAGTCCACCACTGTGGGAGCCTCAGTTCATACAAAAATCATTAAAATGCTGAAATTTCTGTTGAGATCTGCCATGACTTACTCCACATTTGGGGGGAAGGAGTGACAGATTTCTTTGAAAGCTTCTTACAGCCCCCCCCCTCCATATTCTGTAAGTTGGAGGGACAGCTGTTTCTAATTTCACCATAAACTGTCAAGAAATTGGGCCATTCATCCTTAGCTGTGTAATATTTTCTTTTCAGACATGGTCCTTGAGTCTGTGCTTCATAATTAATTTTGAGCAGTCTGTGTGTCCCTACACTATATAGGTGTGGCAAATTAATTTCTTACTGTAGTCCAAAAATTGTGAATATGGATTTAGTCTCAAGTTCAGCCAGAATATGTGTGCTCCTTAGATAGCCGTTGCCATTTTAATTGGAACTATTTCATGACAGCCACTGTTTAGTGTAAATTACTCTTGGACCTCAAGGTTTTCATTGTTAACTTCCACATTACTTTTACATACTAAAGTAATATAATACTTCTTTATGATTTTACTGAGTACTGTAGTGTTCCTTGTTCAGTTTTTTTTTTGCAATAAATGTAATACAGACGTGGGACACATGTAGGAAAGATTGTGTTCATTGTGGACCAGATTTCTAAATGAAGGTTTTGGTGTCCTTGTCCTTGTTACCATATCCACACTAACTCTTCCTATTCCTCTTACTTGGGGACTTTTTGACAGGGTAATGCTGACCACCCGCCTGTATCCAACTTTGTACCTCCATGCCTTCTTTGGACCGCAGGAAATTAGTGAAGAGATGTGCAGCATATATCTGATATGAGAACCCTTTGGAGTTTGGGTAAGTGATTGGCTCTGATGTTCATTTGTTTCAGATACACATTTATTGTTGTGAAATGAACTGAAATACAGATATCACACTGCATGGTGTCATATATTACTTTTATGTTACTGCCTTGACAATGCACCATATACACAAATGTTTTGAATAAAAGCTGTGTATTTGAATGAGGTCTTTATACACGTATTATGTGCCAATTCTTTTGGAGAAATCTTCAGTTTAGATTTAAGCTTGAATAGTACTGTCAATAAATGGATTTGCTGCAAAGTGAATAACTGGGATTGCATTCCTGGCAGGGTGAAAGATGTTTCTCTCTCTCAGCATGTCCAGATTGGCCCTGAGATGCTCCCTGTCTGGGAATCAAGGGCCCTCCCTGGAAGAAGGGCCTGCAGCTGCATTGTGAAAGCTGACTGTTCACCTGTACCTAATGCCAAGATCTAAAATATGTCTAACTATACCTCCATGCCTTTTGCCTTCATGCCATGTTCTTTAGGCTCTAGGTTCAAGCTTCATGTAAAACAATATTCATATTATGCCAAAATCATATCTGCCAGACCATTTTTCACATATCCCCCCATACACCAAACATTATAAAAATCTGGAGTGGTTTTGGGGATGATATTGGTGATACATATGACCTCCACATTATGTATTTATTTTATAGACTTTATGTGAAGAATACATAAAAAGTCTTTGTGTTTAATTTCACATTTATGCACTTCAGTATCAATTTTGACATGGACATGAAGTGTCAAATTCCAACCCTAAAATAAAATTGGAAAAGGTGTGCAACATAATGTACACAAAATTATTAGTGGCATTCCTTGAAGTTTAATATTATGTTAAAAACTGGAATAATGAGTATAAATTGATGAAAGTCCCCTATATTGGATTCCAACAAAATAAATTGATTAATGGGACAACTAAAAAGTCTGTTTATGGCTCTGTGAAACCCTCCTCTACTGAATTTACCCCCCCCCCCTTTTTTAATTGGACCTATCCTGAGCTTTAATATTATTACCTTATGCAGAAGTCCATCAAGTGGCCTTTTACTTTGAGGTTTTATGACTAGTTTTTTATACATTTCTTGTAGCAAGTTAATTCTAGGTGTATAGTCTTCAAAAATTAATTTATACATAATTGTAATATTTTTATTCATACTATAGCTTTCAAAAGTCTCTGTTCTACTCTGAAAGAAAACTAAACGTCATGTGTTGCTTTGTTCCTTTGCATTCATGTGTGGTGGTGCAATATGCAACATACTATATCCCAAATTTTATGTAATGCATTATTTGTGTCAGTTTCTTTATGGATGTGAATAGTACATGAATGACAGATTATTGATGTTATAATACCATACTTTAAGTTAAATAAATAATTAAAAACATTGAAATGCTTCAGGGAGGGGGTGAAGCTTACCAGCTTGCAAGTGAGAGCAAGAAAATTGCCATGCTTGCGAAATATAAACTCGTCAGTTATACTCAGCCCCCATCCCCTCCTTGTAGTGTCATATGTTTATCATGTTCTCGTTGGACCTGTTTTAAAGCTCTAATTGACAATTTTACACATTCGTGATCCAATGCTGTAAAGAATTTTATCCTGTCTTAAATTCAGTTTTCGTATACTTCCCTCGTAATTTATATAATTTAGATGCTTGCGCATGATAGCTTCGACTCGCCCGCCGTGTGATCTCGCTCCTTCGTTTCTCGCATGCGTGGAAGTTCCTGGTAATAACATGACGGCATAGTCGGCGCGGCTTGACCAATAGCAATGAAGCTGTGTAGTTGGCAGAAAATAGGATCCGTCATCGTTAGCCAATAGGAATGTGAGTTGGTGACGTTATGTATTAAAAATAACTTGTGTGACTCACTGAATATAAGCAGTACGGTTGGTTGTACTAGATTCATAAAGCGTTTAGTTTGAGGAAGAGGTGGAAGTGTGTAGTGTATAAGAGTTCTGGTCGTCACGGCGCCTGTTCGTATTGATCGCCAAAGTGAGTCATTCTTGTTGTGGTTCGACACGCGGTGACGCCAGGGTTGTTGCCATTAGGTGCTGTGTTCGTAGTGAAGAATTAATTTTCTACCGAGAGTGATCAGGACGGTTCCTTGATGGTTCGTAACTGTATTCCTCCCAAGATGGAGACTACGTTCTACGAGGACCAGTCTTTTCAACATAGGTTAAATGGTGATGTAAATCAGCTGAAACGAAGCATGACTTTGGACTTGAATGCTTCTCGAGGGCCAGCGAAAAGACCAAAATTCAATGCAGCTGTGACTGCAGCTCCAGTGCTATCCTCGCCAGATCTCAACATGCTTAAACTAGGGTCTCCTGAGCTCGAGAAACTTATAATTGCACAGCAGAACGGTTTAGTTACGACGACACCAACACCAACGACGCAGATCTTATTTCCCAGGACAGTGACTGAAGAACAGGAGATGTATGCACGGGGTTTTGTGGATGCATTGAACGAGCTACATACGAGCGATTCCAGTCAGATGAGCTCCGCGGGAGGATTGCAACCTGTAGATGTTCCAGTTACCAGCAGTAGCAATGGTACTGGCGTCGGTATCACTTATACCACGCTGGAGCCACATGGCCAGGTTGTGATCAGTCAGGCAAATTCATTCCCGCCTATAACCTCGGCTGGATACGGCCTTCTGTCGTCCACAGACCAAGCCATCCTTGTGAAAGATGAACCACAAACTGTTCCAAGTCTCGGATCTACGCCACCCCTTTCTCCCATCAACATGGAGTGCCAGGAGAAAATCAAGCTGGAAAGGAAGCGGCAGAGGAATAGGATAGCAGCTTCCAAATGCAGACGACGTAAGTTGGAACGTATTTCAAGACTCGAGGATAAAGTTAAACTCTTGAAGGGTGAGAACACAGAACTCGGAACTGTTGTACACAAGCTCAAGGAACAGGTGTGCCAGTTGAAAGAACAAGTGATGGACCACGTGCACAGTGGTTGTCAAATTATGGTGGCAGCCCACTTCTGAACCGAGGATTCCCCGGGTTGAATCCCGGCGATGTGTGTGTGGGAAACGTGTATCCTTGCCTTTCTTTTTACGGGTTTGGTTTCTAAGGTAACTTCAGGAAGTCGCAAAGCTGCTCCAATATTTAATACTTTAAAAGTGATTTTTGTATCAATTTGTATATCGGTCTGTTTTCAACCAAATTTGAAAATTGTTTTGAAAATATTTGTTTACGTGCAAGGTCTAACGACATGCTCAATATTAAATATTGTGTGGAGCAGCCAAGGTTGCGAAATAAACCAAACTTAAATTTTTGCTGTTCAGTGTAATGGTACTGTGGAGCGCATGACCGTCCCAGTGTAAGGAAACCAATTGGGCCTGGCGTGAGGCTACATAAGCGAGTGGCCTTGTGTTCACTTGCGTAATTCATCACCACAAGCTGCAACGTCGTACTGCGGCCAGGATTAGAATTTGTGGTAGCCTCTCACCTCTTAGACGTCATAATCGTCCGCCATTATTTCTCCCAAAGAGAAACTGATAGTATTACAAAACTATAGTGACTTATTTACAATTTTTTTTTGTCCTTAGTGCTGAGTGAATTTACAAATATGCATTCCTGAATAAAATAAAATGGGCATGTATGTTTCATACAGGAAACAATCACATTGTAGACCTCCTGTAAAGCTTTAGGAGGCAAATTGTGCATCTAGTCGCATCCCCATGTGGGTTATACTTTTCATGTATAAGCATGTGATTCTTATATACTGTGTAAAACTGTGTTTGCTCTTGTCTTTTGGATGGTTTGCTAAGCAGAGAATTTGACTTTTGAAAAGAGCTATTTTTGTATGGGAAGTTCTAAGCTGCGAATATGTAGCATTACCGAGTATACTAGCCTAGTGTGTGGTTTCCTAATTGAAAGTGCTTTCAACATTTCATAGAAATTATATTGCCTGTAGGCAGTCTATATTTGTAATGCAAATCCTTCCAATATGCAATGTGCCTTTTAAATAGAGGTTGAGTGTTTGAATCTGCTATCAGAATCCTCATTTTTTCCAAACTGACAGCCTGCAGCAAAAGAAGTTCTTGTATATGTATATACATACTTTTTTTACAATATATCTTTAGCATTCATCTTCAATAAGGTATTTTTATGTGTGCTGGTATGTGATGTAGAAAATAGATTCCATGAAATCTTTTTTATGAATGATTTTATTTTTGACAAAATAAATTGATATTTAAGAATAAGTTCACTCTCTCTTAACCTAACAGTCTTTCAGTATATGTAGAGATACCGTATTTGGAAACTCAAATTTCACAGCTGTTTATGGGTGGAAGTGAAATTTTATGTAGTCTGTATTGAGAACTTAGGTAACTCGTGCAGTTGTGCTTTGTTAACGAGGTCAGGGATTTATGTGTTGCACTTACAGCGCATCATGCTGCTGCTTAAGTTTCTGTTGTTTCTGCAGCTGTTGGAACTTGGGAGGTTGTTTGGTGTTCATATGTGTGGATGGGTACAGTTTATTTCAAGGGACTTTGAAAATTGAGAACTGATCATTGGTAATTAGAATGGATGATGAACACACTTGAAGAGGGTAGTGGAAATTAATGTACAGAATTCCAACCAGCCTGCATTATGATGTATGAACAAACAATTCTGATCCATGTTCTCTCTCTCTCTCTCTCTTTTTTTTCTGTTGCACTGGATTTTTTAGTTCTGATTTGACTGGTTGTAATTTATGTGCTATTAACAGTATCATCGTGTATTTCCCACCTGGGATATGAGAATTTTGAGATTCCACTGCCTTGTTTCCATCCTTGAATGGTGTGATTAATAACGAACTCCATTGCTTGACTTGTTGGAATTTCATGGAAAGAAATGTTAGCATTATACAGATTGGAATTAAAGTCTGCTTCATGGTGTGTTAATTTCAAAATTAACAAATACTGAAATTACTTATACAACTGTTAGTACAACTTCAGTGATTACTGATGTTTGTATTGAAAACCACTACATTTTTTTGACCGTTGTCACAGTTGGTGGTAAGTTAGGTTATATTATCCTTTATAATTACATTATTGCAATAAGGAGTAATATGTTTTACACTGTGATGCATGTTGAAGTTTTTATATGTGGTATAAATATATCCAGAATAGTTTAATTATACACACATGACAGGGCTGAGTGCAAACTGTTTTGTTAACCATGAATTACGTTTTTGATCAGCCATGTTGAAAATGCGCATTAAAATATGTAAAACAGAATGAGGTCAGGTGAAGAATTGGTAAAATTGCGTTGAATTATTTCAATAATAGTGTGGTCATTTGAGGTGACTTGAGATGTAGGGTGTATCATAATGTGGGATTAAAGATCTGTTTCGCTGGGAAGTGACTTCCCAGAATATAATGTAACATGTATTAGTGAATATAGACGGGGGTTGAATTGAATAGATTTATTGACCACTTTCTCGTACAGGTCATGACTACAAATAATTATTACGCTATTGCTGATTTCCACACTAGAAATCAGTGTAAGAAATATTCATTATTTAAAAAAAGACTTACAGTTAGCACTCGTGTATGTTCAGTATACATACGCGTTTTATGTTAGCAACCAGTGTATAAATGTAAGTTTATATCCTACCATTATCATTTGGGGAATATATCTGCCTTCACCATATGTTTGGAAGTGTGACCTTGTTGAAACTGGTTCCATCCAGTGTTATGCTATATTTGTAAGGATAATATTCAGTAAAAAGTTCCTGTGTAGTGTTACACCTGGGAGTGGTTTTCAGTACAAACATCAGTGGTGATGGCTGTTAAAGTTAATTTAATTTTTGTATTTTTATCATTTAAATCCTCTTGGTTGGAGGGTACAGTGGTCGTCATTGTAGTACACACCCTCACAAATCGCGATCATCATGAGTTTTGCACAAATACTGACAGACAAAATTCCCCCATATAATCTGGTCCAAACATTCGGACTCCCACGAGAATTGACAAGTCACAAACCTGTTTCAAATGAAACGTACAGCAGATGCTGAGAAACACGTGAGTTGCCCCCCCCCCCCAAGGTATTCGTGTGTTTGAAGGTATTTTTTGGAAACGAAGAAACCCCGAGTAGCTTTGCAAAGCATCTGAATGATGTGTAGGAAAGACCACCCAAGAGGGCTGGCACAGCTAGGGACCAGTGAAGGGATCTTGTGAACATAATAAACGTTGGGGTTGCGTAAACTGTTGGAAAATTCTCGAGTAAATGAGCGACTGACAGCTTCTCAAGAACTCTGCTCGATGTAGTTATGTTTAAGCCAAGGACTGAGATTTCCAATTTGTCCTCAGTGCTTCGTGTTTTTCTTTAATACTTGCTTATGGAGCTGAGCCCTTCTGGAGGAGCCGCCAATTCTGCAGCTACTCAGGAATTTCCCAGCATTTTATGGAACCCGAAGGTTCATTGCCATGTTCACAAGAGCCCTTCACTGGTCCCTATCCTGAGCCAGAGCAATCCAATCCCATCCCATCCTGTGTCTCTAAGATCCATTCTAATATTGTTCACCCACCTACACCGTGGTCTTCACAGTGGTCTCTTGCCATCTGGGTTTCCCACCAATATACTAATAGCATTCCTCGTCTCTCCCATTCGTGCTACCTGCCCTGCCCACCTCATCCTCCTCGACTTGATCGTTGTAATTTGGAGAAGAGTACAAGTTATGAAGCTCCTCATTGTGCAGTTTTCTCCAACCTGTCACTTCATCTCTCTTCGGTCCAGAAATTCTCAACACCCTCAGGTTGTGTTCCTCCCTTAATGTCTGAGACAGTTTCACACCCATACATAACCACAGGCAAAATTATAGTTTTGTATATTCTAATTTTTATGTTTTTGGTCAACAGACGAGAAGACAAGGTTCTGGACTGAATGGAAGCAAGCATTACCCGAGTTCAATCTCTTAATTTTCTCCTGAATCGGGTTTCGATCTGTTATCGTTGTTCCCAAATATCTGAACTGTGCCAAAATTTCAAAACATGTTTCCAATTTTTATGTCATGATTTTGCCCTGCAACATATACTTAAGTTTCCTCTGTGTTTACTTCTAGACCGACTTCTTTACTTGCGTCAATTAAAGTTTGTGTGTTTTTCTTTTATGGTATCTACATTATCACCCAGTAGATTCACATCATCGGCATAGGCCAACAGCTGATGTGTCCCGTTTAATTCAGTCCCACCTGGTTTCCCTGGACCTTCCTAATTGCATATTCTAAGGCAAAATTGAAAAGGAGTGGCGATAGAGCATCTTGTTTTAGACCATTCTGGATAGGAAATTTATCAGACAAATGTTTACCTACACGGACTTTTACTATACGTTTCGTTTAAACACATTTTAAGCAACTTAACTACAGGGTGAATCGTATAGAACCGGCCCGATGAATTTGCTAATAATTCCGCAGGTGATGCATATAACCGCTCACGATTACGACATCATAATCCGTGGGCCGTGCTGAGTCGAATGGTGTGCGTATGATTCGGCAAGTGGCAGCCCTTATGCTGCAAGGTCAAGGACAATGCCGAAACGTGTCTGCAGTGCGCAGGCGATAGTCTTGGAGTACACTGTTGAACAGCGAGTGTTTCTAGTGCCTACTAGACAATGGCGGACACTTTCAACACCTGCTCTGATCACGGCACACAATCCAAGATAAGATATGTGTACATTACTTTAATATCTGTATGGTATATTTTATATTACAGCTCATTTCGTCGGGCCGGTTCTATATGAATCACCCTGTAGTTTCATGGGCATACCAAACTCTTTAGCAGAATATTGTACAATACTTCCCTCCTAACTGAATCATATGCCTTCCTGAAGTCTATGAATAGCTGATGTACTGCCTCATCGTACTCCACTTTTTTCTCCAATATCTGACGAATGCAAAAGATGACATCTGTAGTTGATCTGTTACGTCGAAACCCACACTGATGAATAATTTCATCTATATATGGACTTAACCTTGAGTGAAGAATATTGGATAAAATTTGTATGAAGTTGATAGCAGTGATATCCCCCGATAATTACTACAGTCAGTTTTATCACCTTTCTTGTGCACTATTACAAGAATAGACTCCTTCCACTAATCAGACAATTTTTCCTTATGCCAAATAGAAGTAATTAGATTGTGGGTCGTAGAACGTTATATTTCGCCTCCTGCTTGAATAAGTTCTTTTATTCGTTTTCCTTGGCACTACAGCCCCAGTGGGCCTAGGCCTACCTCCATGAACTTCTCCGTTCACTTCGGTTTTTCTAGATCTTACACATTCGGTAGGACTCCTTGGGCGGGTGATCAGCTCGTCGCAAGGCCTCTACCTGTACACAAACAGAAAAACGCGCACACAAACTAAACATCCATACCCTGAGTGGAATTCGAACCCACGAACCCGCTTTCCAAGCGAGTGAAGACAGTGCATGCCTTAGACCGCTCGGCTACCGTGACCGGCTTGAATAAGTTATGCCGGATTTTTTTCTTTAATATGAATTTAAATTCATGATTAACACGGAAAAAAGCAACTGAACCAGAGTCATTTAAGGATTGAAGGTATCATTGCGCAGACCAGCCAGTGATTTATTAGTCTCACGTTTTGTGTCACGTATAAATGTATCCTATCCAGAGAGGGGAACGTTTCCACGTGACTGAGTAGTTGTTTATTTTTGTGTATTGGCACAATTTTTTACCCAATTTTTCGCTGTTGCACAAAATGTGCAAATTTAACACAGGTGAAATTGTGTCTATCCTCATGGTTCATCTCTAAAACTGTGAAGTCGATTTCGACGAAATTTGGTTTTGGGCAGTCAACAGTAAATTGTTATGGCAAATTTCATGTTGGATCATGTCAGTCTGCTGTGCCCCTACTTGACGCAAAGAGCAAATAAAATTTTCTTTCTTGTCTCAGAGACAGTTAATTGTACAAAAATCGGCATTTAGCAGTACAGAAAATTAGTTTATTATCTGCAGCTTTTATTTGAAACATTTCTTTATGTTAATGTTGAATACAATGGAACATAATTTCTGGCTGCAGTGGGAAATGTACAGTGCAATGAGCTTTGCAACACAAACATAAATGAGATATGAAAGGTAGCAAAAATTAATTTTTAAAATCGGGTAACTGAGAAGTTCCTGTGGAAATTAAACCACTTACATGAAAGAAAAGTTGGAATTTTTTGTTTCTGCAGTAGAGAAGCGCCTGGATCTATTACAGATTTC